CCCCCCCCAGCAATTTGGTTCCCTCCAATGAACCAGAGATTGCTGGGAGTCACAGAACAACTTGGAAGGCATCAGGTATGGGAAGGAGATCAAGTACTAACATGAACCTCTGTGGGACCAGTGCCAGTATTGTAACAATGATCGGCATTCTTTCTTGGAAGAATAAAGCAAATGCAACTTGGATTTGCAAATGCTCCCAGCCAACCCAGAAAGGAGCCAGCTCCAACCTCCACAATCTGCATGCATCCAAGACACGTCTATTTTCAAGCCAAAACTGAGTTGATTACATGTGGAGAACTGATAGTGTGGAGAGTTGATGTGTCTGTCTGACTCCAGACCGCACTTCAAGGGCATAGACGGGTCAATCTAAAACTGCAAAAAATTATGACCTCAGATCCTAACAATTTTTCCTGAATTCTTGTTGCTGACATGTTGCTTTAAAACTTTTCTTCCTCTGTGCATGATACACTCACTTTTGCTCTCTTTATATATTTGTCTATATAGAGAGCCTATATATAATCTATATAGTCTTTATATATTGTCGATAGAGTGATTATTCTAATCATTTCAAGAAAAGAGACTGGCATAATCAGGAAATATTGGTTTTAGCCAATCCGGAAAAAGCAGGGTTCATGTTTCATGGTATGAACCATTCAATACTGTCTCTGATATAACCAAATGTAAGCTGATAATATTATAGGATAGTGGATTTAAATGGAGGTGGGATTTTTTTTTTCAAACTTTCAGGCCACAGAACTTGTTAATTCATATCTGTCTGTCTCTCTTCCAAAATCCCTGATCAAGAGGCAGTCACTCTCTGTAAATCTATTTTACCTCATAAGATTCCTGTGGGAAAAGCTAGGAAGATAGAATGTAGTATAGACCAATTTAACCCCCTTAATGAAAGGCAGGATAATAATCTAATAAATATACTAAAATAAAAGTAATGTCTTTCCCTGCCAAAGGAGAAAAAGATCTAAATAGAGTGTCCCTTAACTGCATCAAAGAGAGCTTAAGAACGCATCATATCAGTGGATCAGCAACTATTTATCTTAAAAAATATCTTTTACTTTCATGCTTTGAGGACAGATTATTGAAATAAATCTTTTCATCCATATCAGTCCTAATCTTGCTTCCATGTCATCCTGCCAAATCAATTACCAGTAGGTATATTGATGTAAGGGACAGAGTTATTTTACTAGTAACTCTACAGCTGTGTAATACTTTCTCCCATGACTGCAAAGATTTAAATAGGTTTTTAAAAATCAATACTTCAAAATAAACTGTGCATAACTTTTCATTCACTAATGATTTTATTTGAAATCTAATAAAAATACTATTCATATATAATATTGCAATTAAATAATTCCAAGAGGCTCAATTAAAGGTTGCAAGGCATAAAATCCATAAAGGATGCTCCTTAGTCTTGTTGATATTACACAACAGTACATGGTGAGGAATGCAATTCCTTACATTGTAGGCTACTACTGCTATGGAGGTGATAACATCTAAGTCAATTTCTGTTGCATTACTGATCTAAAGATCATTACTAAACATTACATTACTAAAGAACATTCTCAGAATTCTCCAGATTCCAGAGAATATTGAATGGAATGATCCAAGTACATCAGACAGCAATAAAATAACAAAATCCAATAACTGAACTCAGCCATAATACTCTTGATAATGTAAGGCTGCTGGCATCTCTGTTCTCATAATAAATATAAATGATGAGACATAGAACAAAGGTTCTAAATGCACATACCAGCCACAGTTGCTTGCTACTGGTGATCACATATAAACAATATCCTTAGATCACCCAGGGACGCCCAAATAGAAAAATTAATGGAAGATAAGGATAATAATAATAATGTTGATGTCTGCAGATCTCCTGCCCAGATCCAGAGGAGATCAGTTAAAATAAATCCATATAATAGATGTGTTCAGACTGAGGCAGGGAAGATTGAAGTTACATACCATGAAGATTGAGTATAGTAGGAAAATGAGCAAAGGAAGCCTAGTCAAAATAATTAGATAACTCAGGGAGATGCTTATAAAAGGATATTGAGAAAAAGCGACAAGTTGGGAACAAGTCTTTATCTCCTAATGAAGACTCATGGCTGTTTAAAGAAAGCTGCTGTTACAGAAAAGGGTAGAAATCAGAAAAATCCAGATCTTCCAGGCAGATTTAAAAAAAACTTTATCAATCCTCCTTTAGTTTTAAGGTTGTATAATTATCACACATCACTCATTACAGAAGTCAAAGGGGAAAAAACGCAAAATGTAGTGTGACATTGCATTATCTAACTTTCTCACCCTATATCAGCATTTCTCAATATCAGCAATTTTAAGAAGTTTATATTTCAACTCCCAGATTTCCCCAGTCAGCCAGCCACCAAGACTAGACTAGACTAAACTAGATGATTTGAATAGAGAGAATACACCAAAACAGAATGGAATTAGCCAGACCCACGAGTCCCTCTTCTACACATTGCTAGAGAACAGAATAAAAACAAATGAATAAAGGAGGTGGCCTGAAAGCCAGGATAAATCTTAATACTTTCAGTCCCTCCCGGTCACAGTGCTGCACATAAATTATGAACAGGAGGTTTTTGTGGGGTTTTTTTGCGTGGGAGTCATTCATTTCAGGATCAATTCAGAACAATATGTACTTATAGCCAGGATTCTGAACAAAACGGATTCAGGTTTGTCCACATTCTAAAGGGAAAATGAGAATGTGTCTGAAGTCATCTCATTGCTTCTCAAGGCCCTGGCTCCAGATGCATCTGATTCATGTCCTGGTTGGCAACTAATCCTCATGTCTAACTTCCTCCGAATAACAGTTATCAGGGAACGTAAGCAGAACAGTGTCATTGTACTCATGCCCTGCTGGTGAGCACTGACTGAGCAGGCTGTGGTCTAGCTAGAATGCTAGACTAGATTGGCCTGATCTAGCAAAGTTCTTATGGGGAACAGGAACTAGGTTCAAATTGCCCCTGGGTTGTGGAGATACAGGAAAGAAGTCATTAAACATTTAAGTGGTTCTCAATTCCATGAATTTCTCTTGATGAGTTATCATAGCTTCAAAAAGATCCATATCAGTTCTTTGCTCTTAGGGCATGTATGCTCTGCCTAATTCTGACTCCTGGTATCATCCCAAATTGTGGAAGGAAGAGCTGCTGCCTCTCTCTGGTAGTTCAATGCAAAGGGCTGGACACAATCTATCCAATCTTAACGGCTATACTATGGTAGGAGAGAGGAGCAGTTGCTTTTAATCATTTGCTTGAGTAGACAACTGTGCAGTAGAGACATTGCAACACACCCACTCCTCATAGTAGCAAGGCAGGAAGAATAAATCTATTCCCAATTGTTTTTTATTCAGGGAAAGAAGACAAAGACTGAGTGGGGTGCTGTGGACTCAGGTCTTGCTTGTTGCGCCTGAGCAGTTCACTCACTTTGCTTGAGAGGTGAACAAATCAATCCCTCCCCTCCATTTTTTCTCCAAAGGGGGGGAAAGCTGTGGTTTGTATTTGTTTAACTGAGCCTGGAACAAGCCACCCTTTCCTCTCTCCGGGCACTAGGGCTATGAGGAGCTGGTAGTTATGTTCACACAACCTGCTCATCCAGCAAGTTGAAAAAGTTTAAAGGAGAGCTGTGTGCCATTATCATAAACTGCCACCCTCACCTCAAACTTATTCACTAGGGCCAGAAGCTTTTCAATTTTTTTTTCCAAATTCAAAACAGAACCAATTCTGGTTCCAATAATCTGATGCTGATAGGAGTAAGGTGACAATGCATACATCTTTGCTGACCCCTTTTGATGATTAATTTGTTGTGTGAACATGGCCCAAGTTCGCTCTTCACCCAAAAGCAAAAGTCAGCAGAATCAGAAGTTTTTGGCAACTGTCTTTTCTGCTTGTTTATCTAAATAGGCCTGTGATAACAGAGATGGCTAAAAAAAAAGCTGCTGCCAGTCCCTTCATTCCCCCTAATGGCAGAATGTATGAGATTGAATTGCTTCCTCCAGCCTTCTGAAGGAAAAGAGCAAGTAAAGGAAGACTAGTTGTTTTTCACAGTTGCAGCAACATGGCTTGCTCAGTCAGCCGAGCTAGGAATCAGCAATGGGGAAGGTTGTCTGCACTATCCAAAAGGGGGCTGGGCTCAAGCTATACTGTAACTGGGTTTATGCAGCATATTGAGCCATAAACCAAGGTTTACAGAGCACATCAACTGGGTTGGATCACAAACCACATCATGACTCAGTGCAATGGTGAATTCATTCATAGGGTGCACACAACAGGTGCTCCTTACAACTGATGCTCTTTCATTCCCTATGGAGCAGTAACCTTCACCATGCCAAACCCAAGTCAACAAAGGGGAAGATGGCAGCTCCTCTGATCTGTCACTCCACTGTCTGCTTCAGTAGGTGAGGAAAGTTACTGACATAACCCTGGAGGGACAAACTTCCCAAGAAATTCTCCTGCTGACAGTGACAACCTATCAAGATTTGGCCTTGATGGCATTTGTCTGGCTCTCCGTGAAAGGCTCTGAATCAGGACAGGGCAAAGTTTTAAGGCTTGGGAGAAAAGTTTGGAGAATAAAGAGAGCGAAAGGCTCAGAATGGAAAGCGGATTTCCAGGCTAGATATTCAAATCCAGGCAATCAAGTTTAAATTCCAGGGGGCGAGAGGGCTCCCAAGTGGGAAGAATAAATAGCAGTGTAATTCTCTGGTTTAATACCGTATCATCCAGGAATTGAACCCGGGAGAAGATTGAGAGAGATAGAGATAGACAGAGAGAGAGAGAATGAGAGAGAATGTCCCAAGCGAGAAAGACAGAGGAAATGGCAAAAGCCTTCGCCGTGGAAGGAAATCGCTTGATACCTCCCGCCCCCGGAGCCAGGGGGAGCATTCATCGTGAGGACATGCAGCCATAGGACCCGGCAGGACCCCCTTTTCCGAAGGAGAAGACGACTAGTATCCCCCGGCCGGGGCTGCTCACCTCGAACATAAGCGATATCAACACGCAGAGCACCAGGCAGAAGCCGATGTCAGCGTGGTTGTGGATGAGAAATTCCTGGCTGAAGAGCGGGTGGCTTTTCGCCCGCCTGCGGAACGCCATGGCCGGCAGGGACGCGAGCGAGCGGCCCGGCCCCACCGCCCTTGCCTCCGCCCAGAGCCGCCAACTTCTCCCCGGCCCCTGAACAACTTCCGAGCAAGGGAGACCGGGGCCAGAACCCGACCCCCCCCCCCCCCTGCGCAGGCGCCGCTCTCGCCGGCTGGCTGGCTGGCTGCTCGGCCCCGCCTGGCTTAACCCTGTATCTGCCTGCCCGGGCTGGGGCGAGCGAGCGAGCGAGCGAGCGAGCTGGGGGGGGGCGGGCCGGAGGCGCTGGTCCTCGCGCGGCGTGGCGTGGCGGCACAAGGTCCGCCCTTGCAGATTCCCCCAGACCAGGACCTCCCCTGCTGAAGTCCAATCTAGTTTCGTGGCACCATCCTTCACGGGAGAGTTCCCACTGCTGGGGAGGCGAGCAAGCCTGTTGGACGGGGAATCTCTGACCACGGTTAAAAGCACCCCGCAGTTCCTAGACTCTACTAGACGATAGCTTTGACATAGCAGCTCGTTAGGCGTGCACGGTGAAAACAAAAAACGGGGGTTCAAATGGTTCAGTGTCTGAAATTTGGGTGTGTAGGGGGGCAGTCCAGTTCTATTCGGCTTTTATTCTGCAATTAGTGTTATAGAACTTATTCCCAAATGTCTATGCATAATGATATGCTACTGCCTACATGATCAATGTGCCTTCCAAAAGTGAACTATGCATATTTTCCAGTTCTCGCCCTGTTTAAAAACAAAACAAAACTTCTTGGTGGTCTGCTAATGGCAGCATTTTATCTCAATTTACCTTAATAAAACATCGATAAATAAGCTTATTTTTCCTCCAACTGGATCTTCCCCATAACTGTCCAAGTCCTTGGATTTATGACCTTTTCAGCATCATAACTGGCTTCTAACAAGCAGAGTCAATGGAGAAGCTGGCAGTAAATTCACAAGTCAGGAATGTGATGTCTCACTTAATGATCCATGATAATTTGTATAAAGACGGCAGCAGAAGTGATCTTCACAGTCACATGATGTCTCGAGGACTATCTGTATTTAAAACCAGTACAGAAAGAAATAATTTTCTAGAGTAGCACTGAGGAACAGCTGAAAAAATTAAAATGACTCTGAAGCCCGGGATCAAAAATTGTATTTCTATAATTGGATTATGTACTGTGTACTTATAATCATATGCGTCATGCCTCACATTCAATCAGAGGGGATGGTTTAAGTCAGTGTAATGTAGGGGCAAAAATATTGGGGCACCAATCTAATGTTAAAGCGTTTGATATTGTTTATGTCATTTTTCCTCTTTTTGTTATTTTAGAATAGTCTTGCTGTGTTTTTAAAATTTGCAAACTTTGTAAACTGTTATGAAAACTATTGTTGACTTAATAAAATTAATGCATAATTTCCAGTTTCAGTCATGAAGTTGCAGCCCTATGCAGAGTTATGCATTTGATGTACAGTATGTGTCTTTTAACCTATTTATTTTAATGATTTAACTGTCCAGAGGCAGTTACTCTCTTTCAGCCCCCAAATAGGAGGAGGGAATATACAATGGCTTGAACTCCTGAATAAAGAATAGGATATAAACAAAAGTAGACAAATCAATTTCCTTGCAGTCCAAATCATAGTTTAGGTATTCTCTCCTAATGAAAGTAAAACTATACTGTAGTTTGAACTCTCTTACTGTTTCATGGCAGGAGAAAACTACTAAATTTAGAGAAAATACAGTTTACACATGTCTAATATGTAGTGAGCCTTTTGAAAAATTTTCTGAGATTTAAATTCCACTCTGCATTGAGGCTTACTTAATGTGTACAGAGTGTAGTCCTTAAATATTTACTTAGCAATATGTTTTTTTTCACTTCATTTCTTAATATATTTGTGCCATGTCAGGCAAAATGGCATATGGTGGCAAATCAAGGTTTCTTGAACTTACTCATGTTGGCAGACATCAGTGGCTTTGCAGTTGTTCATGACTTGACCGATGCTTCTTGAAGATTTTTCCCCCTTAAATATGTTTTATATATATTTTTTTAAAAAAAGTAATTGGAGGGAGGGAAGGATGAGGTTCACCTCCTTGGTATTCTTATTTTTTCTCTGCACAACCACACAAATAAAAAAAAGCAGATGAAGACACTGTGGTTGGAATTTGGTGGCCACCTCTGCCTCCTGTCTCTATTGCCAGTTGTCTGAGGATGCTTTACCCTAATCACATTTTAATCAATAATAATGGTTCAGAGGTCATGATTGTCCTGACTTCCATTTTGGTGACTATTATGATTTCAGAAATCCAAACTTGTGTGTCAAAACAACTAATAGAAGAACAAATGGTTTTCATTATTTTTATTAATAGTTTTTAAATAGCTATTATTTCCTTGTCTTGATTTTGAATCCAGATATTTTCAAAGTAAAACACCACTGGAGGCATAATTAAACAAGCACAGAGAGAAATAAGGTGCTTCCCCGCTCCTAGATTTACACTCTGGTAATGGAACAGCTGAGCTTGCTATATTGCTATCACTTAACTTCCATTTTCCATAAAAGAAACTAATGCTGGAGTAGCTTTCTCTGTCATGAGACTGGCAGAAATTAGTTGCTGTTTTGTGTGTGTGTTTCTCTTAACAAAAAAAAAAACCATCCAAAATATCTGAAATTCTAGATTTTTTTTTAAAAAAAATCTTCCTTGGAAGTGCACATATGTTTCAAGTCCCTAAAGCTTATGCGATTCAGCAAAAAGGAAGAGACTGAAACAATCAGTTGGGCTGAGTTACATGCAACATTCCTGGACTATTACGTGTCAGCCTGCTCCTACACAGAACTGGGGGAGTTTGTCTTTCAAAACTTGCTTCAGTAGAGACATTTTACTATTGATAGTCTTTTAAATTTCCTGAAACATGACAAAGAGAGCAGAGAACTCAAAGGATTATATTTTCAAAATTATACGCAGATAAGTGAGACTACAGACATAACAAGAGGCTCTGGAGATGTTGTGGAAACAAAATCAACTGCTAGATAAAGGAGAGAATAGCAAGTCTCCAAACTCAAATATCAAGAAGTATTAAGAAATACAGGAGAATTCTTCAGCTAGCTCTGAAGCCTGCTTTCTCAGCAGTTACCTCCATTGATTTCTGCAGGAATTGCTACTAAGAAAGAATTGGGATACAGCCCTAATGCAGCTTGATCTATTTACAATTGCATCCAACATTTCCACTCAAAAAGTACCACTACATTCAATGAAATCAGGCTATAAAAATGTTTAGAACTGCAACTTTACTCATTTCCTATCCTCAAGTTAAATACATTCCTAGAATAAATAGACAGAAAAATTCTAAAAAAACCCCCATAAAGAAACAGATTCAGGGTTTTCCTTCCTTTTTTCTTTTTCTTTCTTTCTTTCTTTCTTTCTTTCTTTCTTTTTTTCTTTTGTTGGTTGGTGCCTTTGAATCAGTGTTGACTGTGGTTTGCCATTGTCTTCTTCCTAGGGCTGAGAATGAGTGACTGTCCAAGATCACTCAACTAGCTTTGTGACCAAAACATGGTTAAAACGTATGGTCTCTCAGTGTCTGGCTTGATGCTTTAACCACTACACCAAACTGGCTCTTAGCCCACTCTTATCTCTGTTATATTAAAGAACTGTTCAGGCCCCGGGTTTGCCCCGACCTAGGAGAGATTTAACAATACAATAACAATAATAGAGTTGGACGAGACCTTGGAGGTCTTCTAGTCCAACCCCCTGCTCAGGCAGGAAACCTATACCATTTCAGACAAATGGCTGTCCAGTCTCTTCTTAAAAACTTCCAGTGTTGGAGCATTCACAGCTTCTGGAGACAGGTTGTTCCACTGCTTAATTGTTCTAACTGTCAAGAAATTTCTTAGTTCTAAGTTGCTTCTCTCTTTGATTAGTTTCCATCCAGATTTAAAGAACATACCAAACTAGGAGAGGCTAGATGAAAACTCCAGACCTTTATCTGAGAAATGATTGATCTTTTGGCTTTTGCAGGCTAAATTAGACATTTCAAAGCCATATATTCCAAAAGCTGAACAGTGAACTATTTCAGGTTTTTTTAAGAATAATGTCACTAGCGCCAATTTTATAAGCAACAGCATAACCTATGTCAGTGGTGGCGAACCTATGGCATGCGTGCCAGAGGCGGCACTCGGAGCCCTCTCTGTGGGCACGTGCGCCGTCATCCCAGCCCCACCTCCCCCCGTGGCCCCCTCCTCTCCAGCAGCCCCCCTGGAGGAGCGTCGCCCTCAGGCGCGGCCTGCACGGAGTAACGCAGCCAAGGACATAGCCGGGCAGCAGGGACAAGACTCTGCCTTTGCACCCCATAGCGTGCAGATGATGCTGCAGGGTATGGGCTGCCTGGGCGATCTGCTACGGTGGGCCATTGAGGCGGTGCGTGGCCCTGTGGGCAGGCGGAGCAGGCAGGGTGGGAGGCGGAGCGGGGGGGCGGTTTTGGGCACTCGTTCTCTAAAAGGTTCGCCATCACTGACCTATGTGAATCTCAGTTATTTATGCAGAATAGATTGCTATTATAGATCAAAGGCTTTTGATGTTTAGCATTTATTATGGCAATTAGTTGTTTAATCAGAGTTACTTACCCTATTATGATTATAATCTCTTGATGCAGGATTATTGTAGCTCACAGAAACCCTATACTGAATTGCCATTCCAAAAAAAAAAGGATTTCTGTAAGTTACAGTAATCTTATGTCTAGAGATATTATAACTGACAACTATGGACCCAGAAGCCAGTTCCAAACCATACTGATTCTTCCCAGAACCTTTCTTAGATGCATCTTACAAGTTAATTATGAAATTTGAGGAGTATTACCCAAATAGTAACATCTCCATACGGTGTAAATTACTCTGTACACCCACTGAAATGGATTATTATATACTGCTAATGCATCACCTATCAATATTTGGAAAATAATGCTTAAATCGGGCAAGGCAATCCTGTCTCTTGGAGTCTGAAATATCATCTCTCTTTTTTGATCACATTTTTGTTTTAACCCCGGGACTGATCAGAGTAAGTTGGTGCTTGGTAGACATGCCAGAACACTTGATCT